ATTATATCCCCTGGCCGTTGGTCTAAAACGCTGTGTGGGAGTCTATATCTGCAAGGGTCAAAAGAAGCGAATCCGTTCTACGCGACCTCTACATAACTGCATTCCTGAGTTGATTAGAGCAATAAGTAACAAACGGTGTGACCTCACAACACAATATCTATCTCAGCGATTACATAATCGAATATCAATCGAATGAATTGACACTGCAACGCATTTTTTGCAACGCACAACAGCGGGAATAATATTGTCCGCAATGAATCAAATAAATGTTGTTGTTCACTCCTTGGGAAAAACTTAAGGCCTCGGCCTTGCAACCGTAAGGTTCTGAGTTCAAATATCTTATATCAAGGACCAGTTATAATAACATATCAGAGATCAAAAATATGTTTCTAGTTATCGCAGGTATTACTGCAAAAAAATAAAATACAATAACTAATAGAAGAGGCCAAAATTCGGTTGCCTTTTTATATCCGAACTAAATTAGGAGAAACATTGGGTACTTTTTTCAGTAAAAATAATCGTAGCATCAGCTCATGGAATACCTGAATTCTGTTTGCTGTCATTCAGATTATGATTGTTTGTCCAAGAACATATATATATAAAAAGTTATTCACTCCTTATGCTTAAATTTTGTAAAATATTTATAACTTAGTAGTGCATGGTATAGTGCCTTAAGGCACGTGGAAATTAAACCTGCTTCTGCCAAAAACTAATCACCCCGTCAATTCGAATCTTATGCTTTTTGAATTCTTCAAATCGGTTAATCCGTGTTCACTGAATCGTCGATTAAAATTTGTATCCGAACACACACTGTAATTTTTATTATTATCATCGATTTTTCTAGGTTAATGAGTAGAATTCATATCAATATTTAATTAGATCATAATATTTACGGATGGAATACAGCTATCCTATATTTAGTAATTATGTCACTGTAATTAAATTCTTCGAAATATATTCTGATCAATGTTTATCAAGGATAGTTTAGATTGCATAGATAGAATAGAAATGATGAAAATTATTTTTCTACCATTTTGTAGGATAATTATTTTAATAAAATAAAAATTCTTAATTATTTATTTAATATATTTTATGTTTCAAGGCTCAAGACAATTGTAGTTATATTAATTACCGTGCATAAGAAATATCACATTTTTGTAAGACCATATCGAACAATTTTGATGATTCCAAAGTTAAAAAAAATATTTGGTACGTGTTGACAAAGCTAAAAGGTAGATGTTTTGTATAACTTTATTGGCTTTTTGGGTATATGGAAAGAGTACACACAATGTCCATAAAAACTTATTATTTTTAATTTTCGTAGGGTAAGTTATAGTAATCGCAAAAGATCGAAAAAAAAATTTTTATATACTTTGAAGTTTCAAAGTTTTTTTTAATATTTTGGCATACCTAAAAAAATGAATGAATACAATTCTTCATCGACAATTTCAAAAACACGGATCAACCGATTTGAATGATTGATTACAATAGCATTAAAAATATGTACAAATTTTTTTTTTTTTTTTTTGACTCGTTTTATTTAGCAATCAGAAATACATAAAGATTCCTATGAGCTAAAATGACAATGTAAGAGCGATACCTAATATTTAAAAACAATGTAATTAAAATCATACTTCAAATATGACACGATCGGTTTGTCATTGTAATTAGCATTTAGAAATGAACCTTCGTTAGAGAAATGAAGTAATTGCTGATTAATAGCTTTTATAATATTCGTTCACGCAGTGGATGATGTTAAAAACAACGCCTAAACAAATATTGTTTTCGCAACTTGACTGACCCATGTAATGATTGTGTTTGAAGAACTTCATGTAATAAATTGACATACATTCATTGACTGCTTGATTTTTTTTACTCTTTCGCGACATAATTCATTCATTCTTTGAACAGCTGTATAATCTGTCTTGCCTAAATATATTTTCCATTTAATAACTTCAAAGATTTATAGAAACTAGGAATATTATAGAAATATTTTTTATCAATAAACAAATGTTAATTTGTTTTATTATTTTCAAGAACAGGGTAAAATATTCTTCTGATTCAGGCACTTTTCATTAAATCAAGAATCGTACTACATGTAACTTTAAAATTTAAAATTTATTTATCTATGCCGACTTCCTTGTTGATATCGATACGCATACAACGTTGACGCCAGTACGCATACATCGTCAGATCTCTATTCACATAACGACGACTAATCACAATCGATCCGTATAGAAATGATATCATCGAGAGCGAATGACGAATCATCGGCACTCGACTCTGCCGTAACGCACTTTCGTTGCATTTGTACGGATTTACACCCTAGTCGCGCCTAAAGAAGTTTTACTTAAAAAAACTGTTATTACAAGACCATGGCCCTCCTACTCAATCCTATTAAAAATATGTGTTAACAAAATTTATAAAAACAGACAACAAAATTTATTTTACTAGGAACAAGTTAATGTCCGTAAAGGATTGTTATCTATGCGAATCAGTCGCGCGAATGTAGTGTATCGTCCGCTGGTGCTTCCTCGTTTTCAGTGTCCGCTAATTCGAAATAGCGGCATAACATAGGCGCTATTTTGGGCGACCACCTAAAGACCATCGGCTATGATCTCAAATTGTATTTTGTCCCATCACATCATTGCCCAGTTACAAAGTCTCGCCCGTTTGGAAAACAGCGTCAGCGCACAAAAACAGAGAAAATCGCGCTATTGACATTAGTATTGATTGATCGAAATTTCATATTTCGATTCGAATCGTGCGCTGATCGCTTCAAGTTGATTAAGTATTGAATAATAAATAAAAAGCTCAAAGCGAGATTTATGTATTGTTGAGTGTTTTTATTAGTTTCAATTAAATTTTGTCAAATTTTTATTTACGTGTATTATTGTTTGATTTTTTTTATTAAAAAAACCGAAACGATACGAAATCGTCGCGCCGAAATATAAGTTGTTTAAATATACTTTTGGTGCCTTACTGTTGCCGATAGAGTGCTCTTTATTTGTGACTTTTCACGGACTGAAGTTCAAAATGTTTAAAAAAAGGTTTCCTTCACTTTCAAGTCTGGGGGTAAGTCGTAATCTTATTTATGAAATTGAACTAATCTCAACACAGGAACAATAAGATGTCAAATATAAAACATTATTTTGGGAATATATTTAATATTTAGTAGAAATAGTAACACGTGATCTTTAATAATTCTATATAAAAATTATCAAATACAATATGAAAAATATGAATAACAATATGAATTACTGCAATGTAGAAAAGCAAGAGGCTGCTAGTAACAGTTTTTTTGATTTAATATATCTGAAAATACACTAATATATTTCTGTGAAATAAAAAATGTATAGTTTCTGTAACTTGTCCTAAATTGGACAGTTGTGAATAAAATAGAGAATAAAAAAAACTTGATGTAACTATTCCTCTACCGAATCAAGCAAGAATATTTCAACAAACGTTGTTCATTATTTTACAATAAATCATTTGTTAGAAAATGTGAGATGTTACAACTTACCCCGTGTTTGGGGCTATTAGAAGCGTCTACCAAGTACAGCAGTAACGACAAAAAAACGACAATAATACTTTTGATAATTTATTCTTTACTTATTTTAAAGAAAATTGGCATGTTTCTAAGCAATTCTTTTCATATATCAGCGCAAACTAAAATAAATATAAATAAAATATATTATGTCACTTATAATATAAATTCTTAATCATAAATCAAAGTAAACTACAATTAATATAAATAAAGATATAGCAACCGAGTCTCCCGCCTAACAGAAAAATATTATGGCAAGGGCCATGTTAAGCTCCAACTTCCATACATTATGCTACTGAATTATACTGAATACTGTCAAAATGCCATGTATTTGCAGTGCATTCAGGCGTTTTACACATAAACTGTAACGTCACTCGTATGTTATAAAGCTGGATCAGAAAGACCCTGTTATCTAAGATCGTTTTTTGATATTTGTGCTGTTTCTAGGTTAGGTTTTCTGACAACCTGAGAAATACGCATGACTGCACCAACCACATGGATTTTGTCAATATTTAGCATGGAAAGTTCTTCATAACATGGCCTTGCCATAACATTTTTCTGTTATGCGGCGGAATCGGTTCCATAGTGTGTCTTTTAACACAATTTACACGTGCACAAATCTTGCAAACTATACATTCCATCCTATCTTCAGTTAAATCTGTATATAATTCTTGTAATGTTGCAATTAGACCCAAAGTTATGTTTCAACTAATCCCAGGTGTAATTTTTTAACATTGATAAAGATAACGGTTTAAATAATTTAGTAATCACTAAAATGTTACACGTTATGGAACATTAATAGATCTAAAACAAAATATGATGTATAAAACTTAAAATTAGTCGATAATATTTACACAAATGAAAATGAAATTTTAAATTGCTGACAAAAAATGACGCATCTGCACAATTCTGTTCACTGCGTCAGCCTGCATGACAGTATCAGAACGATTTACATGTCCAATAAAAACAAAAAAATATTTTATTTTCGTTTACGATCCTATTGAAAAACTAGTAGCCTGTTACTACTTACCCCTGTTACAATAACCCCCTAGCCCCCTCACTGTGAATTAAATTTTAGTTTCAGTCTAGCGAGTCTTGTACTTTATATATATCGAGCAATGAAATTAATTTTCTCCATTTACAGTTTACATAATTTCATTATTTCAATTATAGAGAGAGCTTTTGGATCGCTTTAATGTATTTGTATGCGTTTGGTTTTATACAGAAATGGGGCAAATTTAATTCCTTGAATGCTATCAATTTCAATTGGACTCTACGTGCGACAAAGAGTCTCCTACGTGGGTGAATGTAGGGCATTTAAGATATATTATTGTTAATAATTATGTAGTTTTTTCAATTTTTGGAAAAAATTTTGGCTTGAAAGTGGTAATTTAATAACAATTGGGATGTTCTTTTTCTTAGAAAATTTGAAGCATTACATACTTTTGAAGCAATTTTTTAAAATAAACACTCACAAAAAATCATGTTGTACTAAATTGAACATTCACTAAAAATTGTAATTGAACTATCTCAAGCTTTAGATGTTTACTCTTGATATGTATGTATATATGTACATTGAAAAATTGGATGTGTACGCATACATAGATCTCAATTGTTTTTTTTATGAATACATATTTGAAATAATAAAGCAACTTATTTGCTAAATTATTTGTTATTTAAAATTAACATTTTTTTATGTTGTACACGGTTAAAAAATAACAAGTATTTCATCTTTTTTGCTAAAAGTTAAACATGAATGTATAATTATAAATTGAATTAATATAATTAACTTAAATTAAAATTTAAATCTAAACCGTTGAATACATAAATCTTGAATTAAATTTTGTAATTTTGATCACCGTTAAAAAAATATATTGCATAAAACGTTTAATAGTTTGCTAATAATAGTTTAGAATGAAAAATATTTGACATCTATTCTTAAATTTGTATTTCTTCAACAATTTAGATATGCGATACGATGTATGTTTGTGAAAATAATGGAAGTATCAATTTATATGTTACAAATATAAATAGTCTAAAATTTTGTTTTATAAAGAAATGTTTTAGATTAAATTCACAGTTAGTAGCCTCATCAATTGTGAAAAGCAAATAATGTTTAAAAGCTCACCATATAAAAAATTGAATTAAACTGCAAATAATGCTTAAAAGCTCTCAATTAAAACAAAAATATATAAACTGTGAATAATGCTTAAAGGCTTTTCATAAAATATAAATTGTATTGGACTCAAGATGTAAACAGCCAATAAAGCTTATAAGATCTCTTTATGAAAAAGTATATTGAATTGGGCTCTAGTCGTAAATGGCAAATAATGCTCAAAAGCTCTCTTTATAAATAAAGGGTATTCAGTTGCACTCAAGCTGTAAACTGCAAATGATTCTTAAAAGTCCTTTTTATAAAATATATATTGAATTTGACTGAAGCTGTAAAAAGCTAATAATGCTTAAAAACTCTATTTATAAAAAATGTATTAGCTTGGACTCGAGCTGTAAATTGCAAATAATGCTTAAAAGCTCTCTCTACAAAAATGTAAAAAATTGGATTCGAGCTAGAAAATGCAAATAATGCCTAAAAGCCTTCTATTTATAAAAATGTAAAAAAATAGATTAAAGCTGTAAAATGCAAATAATGCTTAAAAGCTCTCTTTATAAGAAATGTATTGAATTGAACTGAAGCTGTGAAATAAAAATAATACATAAAAGCTCATTTTATGAGAACATAATATTGAATTGGACTGAAATTGATTGGAGCTGTAACTGGCAAATAATGCGTAAAAGCTCTCTTTATAAAAAAATGAATTGGATGAATAGATTTTTTATAAAAAATGTATTGTCTTCGAGCTGGAAATTGCAAGTAATGCTTAAAAGCTCTTTTTATAAAAAATATACTGATCTGGACTCAAACTGTAAATTACAAAAAATGCTCTTTTCATAGAAAAAATGTATTGGATTGGGGCTTCAATATCACTATCAATCATTTTCAATATCCTTGATCACTTGCCCAAATAAAATTAACTGATTAATCAACATACTATGATAATTTTGTAGCAATTGAGAAGCTGCAGAAGATTTTTTATTTAAAATCCAGAAAACCTTTGGAATATTTCCTTTATCTAAAGATGGATCAGCCAAGTGAAAAATTTCCATCTGCAACTTCATTTATGACTTAAAGAACTTACTGTACGCAAGAAGTTCCGATATGTTTAGTAATAGACTATTGAAATTGGTCCTATTTTATGTTTACGATGGAATCGAACAGTAATGTGTTGCCTCATAAAACGTATATCATATTCCCGTTGTGATTGCTATTTTCGAAATTATTTACGAGACGAAGTCGTCAAATTACAACGCGAGTTGTATATAGATTCTATATCCGTAAAGATGCTATTTGACGAAGTGTTAAATAAACTTTTATTTTAACACTTTAATTAGTTTGGCACGTGCTTACATTGTCCATGGGTTAAACAAGACTTGAAGAAATCAAAGGATCGGTAATATTACTAAGTAATTATTTTTGTGGATTCTCGATCACAACATAATAACATCTTGTGTAAAAGTTCAACTTGGCATGATGTAAAATATATAGACAATAATAAAATCACCTGCAACTTACTTGAGATTTCAATTCAATGGGACAGAAGTTTTTAGAGCGATATTTGCCTAAAAATTATTTTGCAATAATGATATTTGACTGAAAATGATTTTCTACTAACAAAGTCAATCCGTATAAATAGATCAAACTTTAGTATTGTAAAACTATCAATAATTTAAAAACAAATAAATCAATAAATTAAAAGCTAAAAAAATATTGTAAGGCAGCGTCCTTTATACTAGAAACATTAAAACCGTCATAAAAATTATATTTTCTAATAATAAACTATGTCGTGAATTAATTAAATTAAAATTAAAAATGTTTAAAATGATTAAACGCAGTATAGGGTATTCTAACAAAAGTCCAATATAAATTTAAGCAATTATATTGTGAATACCAAACCGATTATATCACAAAAAATAACATATATCAAACAAACAACTATCTGACTATATTCAATTAATCTCTCAACTGATTCATAATTGTAGAAATGTTTTATTTTGCTATTTTTCAAAGAAATGTCTCCTGTCCTTTTTACACCATAGGCAAGGTGAAATGAGACGTCCAGGGGGCAAACAGGTTCAAAATCTTAAAATTTTAAATTAATTTTACGAAATAACAGCTACATTATTTAACAAATGCAAAATATAAATTTTATGGAAACATTTTTTACAGAGATAACACTGTATATAAACTTAATTTGGTATTTCATCAAAAATATTCATCGGCAGAGTAGAAATAACAATTTATTTGAATTATTTCTTGCAAAATTACGTTTTTAACTGTAGCTACATTTTTATTTACTGTATTTTATTCTTTATACCTTTGCTAAGGTAAATGTTCAATTGGTCCTTTTTATCCCACCCATTTTATAGAAGCTATTATAGAAGTTATATAAAAACATATGGTGAATTTAAC